ATGATGACAATGTGAATTCAAATATAGAAAGTCAAAAAGATAATTAAAAAAAAAAAAAAAAAGAATAGGGCCTCCCTGGTGGCTCAAGGGGTTAAGACACAACCTATGAAGCTATCCGCAGCCACTGCACCATGAGTTCGATCCCCGGCCAGGGAGTTACCCACATGGTGCAGCAGACCTCTCCTGACTCACCCGCTGCTTCCCTCAGCAGTGTATCTCAGTCAATTTGCCTGTTCTGTTCCCCGCTCTGTCTCTGGTGAATCCTCTTGCCCTCCACAACTCTGGCCTGTACCTCAGTTCTTGTATGCATGAATAAATAAAAAAATTAAAAAAGAATACATGGAAATACAGGTGTTGAAAAATACAATGACCAAAATGAAAAATTCAACAGGAAATCTGAACTGGCAGACATGTTAGTGAACTTGAACATACACTAATGGAAATTAAACAATATGAAACAGCAGAGAAAAAAAAAAGGTTGAAGATAAATGAACAGAGCTTCAGAGAAATGTGGGTTACTAATAAGTATTAGATTGGCTAAGATAATGACTCCAACGGTAACTCAAATCCAGAGGAATCAAATGAAAAGATCAAGAATAGATATAAATAAAGAGGTTAATGTAACAAAAACTATTCCTTTCTTCTCTCCGAATCTTTAAAAATAAAAAGTTAGATAAAGTAATAATTATAATAGTATACGATTGAGTTTGTAAGATGTACAGATATTATACATATTTGTATATATAAAAAACAATAAAATGATAAAAAGGGAAGAAAGAGAATAACAATAAAATCACCAAAAAAGGAGAGGAAGGGAACAGAGCTACCTAGAAGCTGCATTTCTGTATCTCACTAGAATTAAGTTAGTTAAACGTGAAGCTGATTCTGATATGCATGTGGTATGCATTAGAGCAAACACTAATGAAGTAACTAAAAATATAGCAAAAAATCATTGATGAAATTAAAATGTGGGACTCCCTGGTGGCGCAGGCGGTTGAGCGCTGCGCTGTGAAGCTGTCCGCAGCTTCTGCAGCGCCGGTTAGATCCCGGCTGGCTTGCGAGGGTCCCACATGGCGCAGCAGACCTCTCCTGTCTCGCCCGCTGCTCCCCTCAACAGTGTATTTCAGTCAGTCTGCCTGTTCTGTTCCCCGCTCTGTCTCTGGTGAATCCTCTCACCCTCACGCACCTCTGGCCTATACCCCAGTTCTTGTGTAAAAATGGATATATCTTTAAAAAATTAAAAAAAAATGAAATTAAAATGCAACATTAGAAAATATTCACTAAGGGCTTCCCCGGTGGCGCCGCGGTTGAGCGCTGGGTTGCGAAGCTGCCCGCGGCCTCTGCAGCGCCGGTTCAATCCCCGGCTGCTCCCCGGCCACCGGAGGAGGGTTCCGCATGGCGCGCAGACCTCTCCTGCCGCCCGCTGCTCCCCTCAGCAGTGTACTTCGGTCCTTCTGCCTGCTCTGCTCCCCGCTCTGGCTCTGGTGAGTTCTCTCACTCACCCGCGCTTCTGACTGTACCCAGTGCATGTATAAACAAAACAAACAAACAAATAAAATAAATAAATAAATAAAACATGCCTCTATAAAAAAAAAAAGAAAAAAGAAAATATTCACTTAATGCAAAAGAAGAATAAAGGAACAAAAACAATAAGACATTGAAAATAACAAGTAAAATGGCAGTTGCAAATCCAACTATTTCGGTAATAAGAAAGTGTAAAGGAATTTAAACTATCCAATAAAAGGAAGAGTTGTCAAATTAGATATTAAAAAAACCAAAATCTTATGCTATGCTGTCTACAGGAAACACTTTAAATTCAAAGATACAAATAGATTGAAAGAAATGACTAAGGGCCTCCCCGGTGGCGCAGCTGTTGAGCACTGGGTTGCGAAGCTGCCAGCAGCCTCTGCAGCGCCAGTTAGATCCCCGGCTGCTCCCCAGCCACCAGAGGAGGGTCCCACATGGTGCGCAGACCTCTCCTGCCGCCCGCTGCTCCCCTCAGCAGTGTACTTCGGTCCTTCTGCCTGCTCTGCTCCCCGCTCTGGCTCTGGTGAATTCTCTCACCCTCCCGTGCTTCTGACTGTACCCAGTGCATGTATAAACAAAACAAACAAATGAATAAATAAATAAATAAAGCATGCCTCTATTAAAAAAAAAAAAAGAAAGAAAGAAATGACTAAAAAATAAAAACAGCAACAAGAAAGTTGGAAAGGCTGTCACTATATCACGCAAAATTTACTTCAAAACAAAAATGTTAGTAGACGTAAGAGAGACATTTTATAATAATGAAAGGATAAATCCATCAGTAAGATTTAAGCTATAGACATGTATGTATTTAAAAATAGAAATCAACATACATGAAGAAAAACTGATTAAGATGAAGAAACAGATAGTTCAACAATAATAACTGCAAACTTTCAACTTTTAGTAATGAATAAAACTAGAATACCAAAGAGAAAATAGAAGATTTGAACAACACTATAAAATAAGTAGATCTAATAGACATTACAGACCATTTCATCCAATAGTAGGATATACATTCTTCTCAAGTGTATATGAAATATACTGCAGAATAAACAATATGGTAGGCAATAAAACAAATCACAATAAATTTGAAAAAAATTAGAAGTAATGCTAAGTATGTTTTCTACTAACATGGCCTGAAACAAAAAAGAAAAACAGAAATTCAGAAATACACAAATATGGGAAATTAAACATAACACTCCTAAGTAATCAGTGGGATCAAAGAAGAAATTAATAAGGAAATCAGGAAATATATTGAGATGACTGAAAATGAAGACACAATATAAAAAACTTAGGAGAAACCACTAACGTAATGCTTAGAGGGACATTTATTGCTGCAGATGCCTATATTAAAAATAAAGATCTCAAATCAATAATCTAACCTTCTGGGCCTCCCTGGTGTTGCAGGGGTTAAAGTCTCAGCATTATCAAGCTATCACCAGCCTTTGTGGCTTGAGTTTGATTTGATCCCCGCCCAGGCAAGTGATCCACATGGCACAGCAGACCTCTCCTGTCTCGCCTGCTGCTCCCCTCAGCAGTGTATTTCCGTCAGTCCGCCTGTTCTGCTCCCCACTCTATCTCTGGTAAATCCTCTCACCCCCACCCTCCGCACCTCTGGCCTACACCCCAGTTCTTGTATGCATAAATAAAATTAAATCTCAAAAAAAAAATCTAACCTTCTAATGTAAGACCTTGAAAAAGAGAGCAAACTAAACCTGAAGCAAGCAGGAGGAAGTAATAAAGACTAGAGCAGAAACTGATGAAACAGAGAATCAAAAAACAAGAGAAAAATCAGTAAAAACAAAAGCTAGTTCTCTGTAAAGATCAACAAAATAGACAAATCTTTAGATTGATTACCCAGAATAAAAGAAAACTCGAATTACTAGGATCAGAAATGAAAGAGGGGATTACTATCAATTTCACAGAAATAAAAAGATCATGAAGGAAAACCATGAATAATTATATGCCAATAAATTTGATAATTTAGATGAAATGGACAGAAACTACCAAAATTGACTCCAGAAGAAATAGCAATTCTGTACACTTCTATAATGGTAAAGGGAATAAATTAACAAAGACAAAGCTACCAAGAAGGATAAGTCCAGGCCTAGATGGCTTCACTGCTAAATTCTTTTTTTTTTTAAAGATTTATTTTATTTTTACAAGAGCCGTGGTACAGGCCAGCTGTGCGGAAGGGTGAGAGGATTCACCGGGGACAGAGCGGGGAACAGAATAGGCAGACTGACGAAATAATACACTGCTGAGGGGAGCAGTAGGTGAGACAGGAGAGGTCTGCCATGCCATGTGGGTTGCTCTGAGGCCGGCGGGCGGGGATCGAACCGGCACTGCAGAGGCTGCAGACATCTTCACAGTGCTGCGCTCAAACACCTGAGCCACCAGGGAGGCCCTTCACTGCTAAATTCTGCTAGACATGTAAAGAAGAATAAATACAAAATTACAAACTAATATCTTACATAAAATTAGATGCAAAAATCTTCCAAAAATACTAAAAAATGAATCAAGCAATATATAAAAAGAATGACATAACATGACAAAGTGGGATTTATTCCAGGAATGTAAGGTTGGTTTCACATTCAGAAATAAATATAAAATGCCATATCAGTAGAATAAAACACAAAAATCATATGACAATCTCAAAGGGCACATAAAAAGCATTTTAAAAATCCAACACATTTTCATGATAAAAACACAAAACAAACTAGGACTAGATCTTTCTCAACCTGACAAAGAACATCTCTGAAAAATGCACAACTAACATACTTAATGGTGAATGACTGGATGTTTCTCCCTTATGATCAGGAACAAAATAAGGATGTCTGTTTTCTCCACTTCTATTGTGCTAGAAGTTCTAGCCATGGAAGTTAGGCATTAAAAGAAATAAAAGAGATCCAGATTAAAGAGAACAGAAGTAAAACTATGTCTATTCACAGATGACACGGTTTTATATAGAAAACCTTAAGGAATCCACTGAAAACACCATTAGAACTAATAAATATGTTCAGAAGGGTGGCAGGATACAATTTCAATATACAAAATTAATTTTTATTTCTTTTTATTATTTATTTATACAAGCACTGGGTACAGTCAGAAGAGCGGGAGGGTGAGAGGATTCACCAGAGCCAGAGTGAGGAACAGAAGAGGCAGACTGATGAAACACACTGCTGAAGGGCGCAGCGGGCACGGCAGGAGAGGTCTGTGCATCATCTGGGACCCTCGCTGGTGGCCAGGGATCAAACCGGCGCTGCAGAGGCTGTGGGCAGCTTTGCAACCCAATGCTCAACCGCTGCTCCACCGGGGAGGCCCATTAATTTTTATTTCTACATGCTTGCAATGAACAATCCAAAAAAATAAAATTAAGAAAGCAAATTCATTTGTAATATGCACCAAAAAGAACAAATACTCAGGGCCAAATTTTTTTTTTTTTTTAAAGATTTATTTATTTATTTATACAAGCACTGGGTACAGTCAGAAGCACAGGAGGGTGAGAGAATTCACCAGAGCCAGAGCGGAGAACAGAACAGACAGACTGACGAAGTACACTGCTGAGGGGAGCAGCGGGCGGCAGGAGAGGTCTGCGCACCATGCGGGACCCTCGCTGGTGGCCGGGGATCGAACTGGCGCTGCAGAGGCTGCGGGCAGCTTCGCAACCCAGCGCTCAACAGCTGCGCCACTGGGGAGGCTCAGGGCCAAATTTAATGAAAGTACAAGGATTGTTCATGGATTGGAAGACTTAATATTGTTAAAATGGCAATAAATCCCAAACTGAACTACAGATTACATGCAATCCCTCTAAGAATGCCTGAGTAAATCTTTGAAGAAACTGATGAGTCTAAATATTCAACAGTCACCATTTGAATCAGCAATTCCACTCCTACTTATATACTCAAGGAAAAAAAAAAAGCTTGTACATGAGTGTTAATAGCATCATTATTCATAATAGCAAAAAGTGAAAACAATCCAAACGTCCATCAAGTGATGAATGGATTAAAAAAAAACTGGCATATCCAAATGATGAGATATTATTTGGTCATAAAACACAATAAATTATTGTTACATGTTACAACATGGACAGATCTTGAAAACATTTTGCTAAGAAGCCAGTCACAAAAGACCACAAGTTACATGATTCCATTTATATGAAAAGTCTAGAATAGGCAAATCCATAGTCAGGAAGATTAGCAGTTGCCCAAGCTTGGGGATATTGGGGATGGGGATGAGGGTTGAATAACTAAAGGACATGGGCTTTCTTTTTGAGTTGAAGGTGCTCTAATATTGATTGAGGTGATAGTCATTCAGGTTTCTGAATATACAGTTGACCCTTGAAGAACAGGGGTTTGAACTGCAAGGGCCATTTCTAAGTGAATTTTTTTTTTTATATTCCTGCATTTTCATTCACAGATTCAACAAACTGGGGATGTCAGTTGGTTGAATCTGCAGATACAGGATCTGCAGATATAAGGGTCAATTATATGTGACTTGAGCATCCAAGGATTCTGGTATCCTTGGGATCCTGAAACCAAACCCCTGCAGATATCAAGAGAAAACTATAGCTTAATATTGGGGTAGTCAGAAGTTATAAATGGATTTTTGACTATGCAGGGAGGTCAGCAACCCCTGTATTGTTTAAGGGTCAACTGTATTTAAAAACTACTCAACTGGGAGCCTCCCTGGTGGTGCAAGGGTTAAAGACAGCACTATCAAGTTATCAGCAGCCACTGCAGCACAAGTTTGATCCCCTGGCTGGCCAGGGAGCAACCCACAAAGGGCAGCAGACCTCTCCTGTCTAGCCTGCTGCTCCCCTCAGCAGTGTATTTCAGTAGATCTGCCTGTCCTGCTCCCCACTCTTTCTGGTGAATCCTCTCATCCCCCCTGCACCTCTGGTTTACACCCCAGTTCTTGTATGCATAAATAAATAAATCTTTAAAAAAACTACTCAACTGTACACTTTTAGTGGGTAAATTGTATAGTATGGGAACAATAATATCTCAATAAAACTTTTTTTAAAATAAATGAAAAGGGGCCATCATTACAGATCTTCCAAACATTTAAAGGACAGATGGAAATACATGAGCAACTTTATGCTAATCAACTCAGTAACATAGATAAAATTGTCAAATTCCTTGTAAGACACAAATTACCAAATTCACTCAAAAAGTAAATAGAAAACCTGCACACAAAAAGCAGCATTTAGCCACCAGGTTTCCGGAAGAAAATAAAGCCCCTGATTCGTAAGCCTATTTAATTTCCATGGTATAAACCACAGCCATTTTCAGTCTATCAATGTGACATCACTGAATAAGGATTTGTTCAGAGATGAAAACAATCAGCTCTCATTAGCCGGTACAAGGCAGCTCCAGCGTGCCACTGCCTATGTCTATGAAATAAAATCAATTTGTTATTAAAAACCTTCCAAGAAAACTCCAGGCCCAGATGTCTTCACTAGTGAATTTTGGCAAACATTTAAGGATGAAATAACAATTTTAAACAAACTCTTTCAGAAAGTAGATGAAATAGTCTATTCTATGTATAATGAGGCCAGATTTATCCTGATACTAAAACAAAAACATTGTAAGAAAATGAGGACCAATATACCTCATGAATATAAATGCAAAAGTTCTTTTTTTTAAAAAAGATTTATTTATTTATGCATACAAGAACTGGGGTACAGGTTGGGGGGGGTGACAGGATTCACCAGAGACAGAGTGGGGAACAGAACAGGCAGACTGAAATACACTGCTGAGGGGAGCAGCGGGTGAGACAGGAGAGGTTGCTGCGCCATGTGGGTAGCTCCCTGGCCTGGGATCAAACTTGTGCTGCAGTGGCTGCGGATAGCTTCATAGGTTGTGTCTTAACCCCTTGCGCCACCAGGGAGGCCCAAATGCAAAAGTTCTTTTAAAATTTTTGGAAATTGAATCCAGTCATCTATAAAAACTTTATAAATACATCATGACCAAATAAGGTTTATCCCAGGAAAGCAAAGTTGGTTGAGCATTCAAAAGTCAATGTAATTCAATATATTAACATAATAAGGGAGAAAATTATGACCATCTCTCAGCAGATATAGAAAAAGCATTTGATAAAAGACAAATCACCCCCATTTATAATAAAATCTCTCAGGAAATTATGAACAGAAAAGAAAATCCTCAGGCTGAAATAAGGCATTTATGAAAAAACCACAGCTGACATACTTAAGAATGAAAAACTGAAAGATGTGTGTTCTCACCACTGCTGTTCAACAATATAATGGAAATCCTAGTTAGTACAACAAGGCAAGGGAAAATAGGTATGTAAATAGGAAAGGAAATAAAAATGCCCTTATTTGCAGGGATAGCATGAGAATGTAAAAAGAATGCCCTACTAGAATTTAGTTATAAAAATAAGTGAATTGAGTTGTAATGACATCAAAACACAAGAATTAGGGATAAATTTTATGAAATATATGAAAATTACAAAATTACTGAGGGTAATTTGGAAGATCTAAAAAAATGATAAAGTATACCATGTTCATGTAGCAAAGACTCAATACTATCAAACATGTGATCATGTATATTCAGTGTAATTCCAATTAATATCCCAGTTGACTTTTTTTGGTGAAAAGCAATAAGCTAATTCTAAAATTTGAAAGGAAATGCATGGGATCTATGAAAGTCAAAATAATCTTGAAAAAGAACAATATTGGAGGACTTAAACCTAAACTTGAGCCTTCATGGAAGGCTGCAGAAATGAAGACAGTGTGGTATTGGCAAATTAATAGGAAAGGAGGTACAACAATATATGTGTGTGCCATCCTTACTGCCCCGCTTATATTCCTCATGCTCCGTGAGCACAAAACTCCCTCGATACATGGGATTTCAGCAAGATTCAGAACAAATAAAAGCAAATTACGTCTATGATTAATGATAACCAGGAGAGCCCCCCCCCTTTTGGTTCCATTGAGAACTTATTACAAACACAGAATCACATTATAAAAATCACAAATCACCAAGAAACCAAGCCATATCTTTTCTTATATGTATCACTTTCCTGTATTCACCAACCAGTTATGTTGAAAATGATGACAAAGAAGAGAAAGGAAAACACATCCCACAGTTCCTTTTCCTGTTAATCCTTCCTTATTCATCAGCAAGACAATGGTAGAAGATGTTTACAGACTGTGCACATATCAAGAACTGAAATAAAAACAGATGAGTTAGTTTTGTGTAGCATTTCCATTATCTGCTAAGAAGGAAATATAGGGCCTCCCTGGTGGCGCATCGGTTGAGCGCTGGCTTGTAAAGCTGCCCGCAGCCTCTGCAGCGCCAGTTCGATCCCTGGCTGCTCCCCGGCCACTGGAGGAGGGTCCCACATGGCGCTCAGACCTCTCTGCCGCCCGCTGCTCCCCTCAGCAGTGTACTTTGGTCCTTCTGCCTGCTCTGCTCCCTGCTCTGGCTCTGGTGAATTCTCTCACCCTCCCGCGCTTCTGACTGTACCCAGTGCTTGTATAAATAAATTAAAAAATCTTAAAAAAAAAGGAAATACATATGCATGTACAAGCTAGAAGATATGAGTTATGTAATTTTGGTGATTCTCCATATGAGTCAAATGCTCTTGTAATTGCATTTAAAGCTAGCATTATACAACATAAAGATGAACTATATAATTCAAGCTAATACTTTAAATTTTTTTCCTTTACTTAGAATAACATTAATAAAAATCATGTCAAATTCAACATCAGTGGTATGAATCACATTAATAGTATGTAGCCTTGATATGTAATGAAATGGATCTTTATCTCTGGGATATTCCTCCCCCAAACCCATAACTCCAGTCTAACTCAAGAGGAAAACACCAGACAAATCCCAATAGCTGTGTAATCTACAAATACTTGACTATGAATTATAAAGGTCATCAAAATTATACAAAGTGAGAAACTGTCATAGCCAAGAGGAATCTAAGGAGACATGAAGCTAAAAGTAATGTGGGATCCTTGATGGGATCCAGAAGTAGAAAAAGGGTATTAGGTAAAAACAAGAACATTTCAGGCAAGTATAGGCTTAGTGACATAATACTGGTTCATTAATTATAACAAATGTACCATACTACAATGTAAGATGCTACTGGGTAGGAGTATATGGGATTTTTCTATACCATCTTCTTAATTTTTCTTTAAATCTAAAACATTTTTTAATGATGTCTATTAAAAAACAAACTTCTGGGCCTCAATGGTGGTCGAGGGGTTAAGTCTCAGCGCTATCAACAGCCCACTGCACTAGAGTAAATTTGCCTTGATGTAGTGGGTGGCAGAACCTATAGTTTTTAGAGCGGACAGTTTTGGGATTCTGGGATGCCCTTCATTTTGCCCTGCAACAGCACTTTTGAAATCGCTTTTCAACGAGGGCCCCATAAATTACATAGACTACCCTGGCTCTATCCCAAACTCTGTTACCTAGATCCTCCAGGACAACTGACTGAGTCATGCATCAAGTGAATACAAAAAGAAGCAAAAACAAACACTCATGAAATATAAGTTCGCTAAATCAAATAAACAAGATTGTGACTCTGTCTCCTCTGTCCCAACTTCCGTCACCCAGACCTCAGACTGGGGTTGTTCTAAAGGTTGTTCTCAGAGGCCCTGGGGCCAAGAGGAGGGCTGTGAGTGTGTGGGAGCCCAGCAGGGAAGTCCAGCCTAAGAGGAGCTCTGAGTTCCCTGCTCTGAGCTTACCTGGATTCTGGGGAAGGTAGCAGCAGCCACAGTCTGGAGCCGTGCCCACTCAGGCCAAATGGAGCTCCTAAGAGCAGCCCCCCTCACCGTGGAGGGCACTGTGGAGGATGGAGCAGAGCTGGAAGGGTCCTCAGTCACTCTCCCACACCCCATGCCCCCACCTTTCAGGGAGGAGAAGGACACAAACAGAGGGAGCCCTCCTGTGACAGGGACAGCATGAGTCCTGCCCAGCCCAGGGCATGGCACCACCTGCCCCCAGCCCAGGACCTTTCCCTGTCCCTGTGTGGCCCAGCAGCCTGAGCTGCTACCTCAGAGTCCCTGGTTTCTCAGGGCTTGTTTGGGGTGGGGGTGTGTGTGGGCTCACCCCTGGGTCCTGGTGCAGGAGGAGAGTCTGAGAGCCACAGACTGGACAGAGCCTGCTGCAGCCAGTCCACAGCAGGACCTGGGGAGCAGAGGACTGCCATGGGTGTTATCAGGGGCAGCTGCAGCTCAGGGGACCTCTGGGCAGGGCAGAGCAGAATCCCTCAACTTCTGGCAGACAGACCCCGCTAAGTGAAAGCTGGCCTCTGTCAAACATGCTGTAAAGGTGTTGTGGGATGGAGGGAGCACTTTGCCTGCCACAGAAGGGCAGCCTCACCAGGAAACAGGAATCCCTGAACAAGAAAAACAAGAAAAACTCCCCCAAGGCTGCCTCAGAACCCCCCACCCCCAAGGCCACGTCCCTGGAGACTGTTGTCACGGCAACAGCTGCCAGGGGCTGGCTGCTCTCCCCCTGGTCTGCCTGGCTGTCCTGCCTTCTGGTACCTTTAGTTCTGCCACCTGAAAAGCCTGTGCTGCCTGCCCTCCCTGGCTGAGCAAGCATGTGCCTGGAGCACACTGCCCAGGATGTTTTACAAAGTGATTAGAAATATATACTCTCGGGCCTCCCCGGTGGCGCAGCGGTTGAGCGCTGGGTTTCGAAGCTGCCCGCAGCCTCTACAGCGCCGGCTGCTCCCCGGCCACCGGAGGAGGGCCCCACATGGCGCGCCCTCTCCTGCCGCCCGCTGCTCCCCTCAGCAGTGTACTTCGGTCCTTCTGCCTGCTCTGCTCCCCGCTCTGGCTCTGGTGAATTCTCTCACCCTCCCGCGCTTCTGACTGTACCCAGTGCGTGTATAAACAAAAACAAACAAACAAATAAATAAAAACATGCCTCTATAAAAAAAATTCTTTAAAAAAAAGTGAGATAGCTAAGGCTATGGGGGGGTTGCAAGTTGTTTTCAAGGCAAAAGAGATAATAAGTAGTTGAGATGGGATTTAAAAGTGGCAATGCGACATGAGAGTATATATTACTTTTTTTTTTAAGATCTCTTTATTTATGCAAATAAGAGCTGGTGTTCAGGCCAGAGGTGCAGGGGCGGAGGGCGAGAGGATTCACCAGAGCCAGAGTGGGGAGCAGAACAGGCAGATCTATTGAAATACTCTGCTGAGTGGAGCATCGGGCAAGACAGGAGATGTCTGCTGCGCCATGTGGGCTGGGGATGGAACTCGTGCTGCAGTGGGTGCTGATAGCTTCATAGTGCTGAGACTTAACCCCTTGCACCACTAGGGAGGCCCTGAGAGTATATATTTCTTTTTTTTTTTAAAGATTGATTGATTCATACATACATACATGTCTGCGCGCCATGTGGGACCCTCCTCCGGTGGCCGGGGAGCAGCCGGGGATCGAACCGGCGTCGCAGAGGCCGCGGGCAGCTTCGCAACCCAGCGCTCAACCGCTGCGCCACCGGGGAGGCCCAGCTATCTCACTTTTAAAATGGAGTTCCTGTGGCTTACACCCTCACTGGCCACAATAAGCCAAGCAGCAGGCCCTTACAGGACCCTAAATTACCAGTATCAAATCCAATCCAGTAGAAGAATAATCGCACAGTCCCCACCTGAACCACGTACAAAGTGGCAGACCACATTCCTTTATAACAAGGGCTTGTTGCCATGGCAGAACCACTCCACCTTATTCCCTCTTGAGAGCACTTTTTCTTAAATGAGCTCCATATCAGCAACTGTCAGGAAGACACAGAACAAATAGGAAGTTACTGTCTTCATTCTTCTACTCCTGGTACTAATTCCTCATAACTCCCTTGTCTGCCCCCATGTTTACCAAGTTCTCACCAAGGACTAATTTATGCTGGCTTGGGAGCATTCAGCAGCAACTGTGTTTTCTGCCAGCAGCACTAGAAAATATCTCCACTCTGAGAAGTCACACGGAGAGTGGAAAAGAGGGGAACTGGCTGGCAGGCACACTCCTGGCTGCCAGGCACACTCCTGGCTGCCACACCCAATAGCGAAAAGGAAGTAGAGCTCTCTGATGCAATCTCCCCTAGATCTTTCCTGAGCTTGCTGAATTTATCATCTTATTTAGTACAAATAGCGTGATTTCAGTGAACACTTTGTAGCTAATAAACTGAATAGGCTCTGGATTCAAAGATGAGGGAGTGAATCTAACCAGACAACTAAAATTTAACCCAGAAAAACAGAACTTCTGTATTTGAATTAAAATAAAATGATTTACGGAGGTGCATTAACAGAGATGTATGAAACAGATTTGAGCGTGTCAGTTGACTGCAGCTTAAAAGTGAATTCAAATGTGTGATATGGCAGTCACAAAATCTATGATCTTAGGACTCATCTATAGATGCACAGGAGGTTATTCTAGAATGAGGGGTTTGATAAGGTCCCTCCATGCCACACTACACAGAATATTCAATATTTTCAGAGATAATTACAAATACACGGCCATGTAGTGTGGTAACTGGAAAAAAAAATCACATTAGAAAGAGCTGAAATAACAGGAGAAGTTAAACCTAAAAAAAATGTTGGTAAGAACATCATCAATTAGGGGTTTCCCTCATGGCACCAGGGATTAAGTCCAACACTATGAAGCTATTGGCAGCTGCTGCAGCAATGAGTTCAATCCCCAATCAGGGCGGTAACCCACATGGTGCAGCAGACTTCTTTGAATTTACCCGCTGCTCCCCTCAGCAGTGTATTTCAGTCAATCCGACTGCTCTGCTCCCCATTCTGTCTCTGGTAAATCATCTCACCTCCCCCCAACTCTCTGCACCTCTGGCCTACACCCCAGCTCTTATATGCATAAATAATCTTTTAAAAAGGATATCATCATTTAAGGATTAAATGAGATAGCATATTAAAAGTGCTTAGTGCAGTGCCTGACATAAGTATTCAATTAATGTTAATCACAAAAGAATGATAATTAGTATTATTAGCACTATGCCATACTATTACATTACTACTACTATTATAGTTAAGGCTTCTAGAGTGCATTCTATGTGCTTGGCACTATTCCAGGTCATTTCCATATGCTTGCTCATTTATTTATTACTCTTCCCAATCCTAAGAGATAGGTACCATTATGCCTCTAATTTTGTCAATGAGGAAACTGAGTCACAGAAGATCAAGTAGATTGCTCAGTGTGTCTCAAAGATGGGAAGAAGAAATAGAACCTTAACTCTTGTAGTTTCAGGCTATCAAGGGTAAAAGGCATTTTCCTAATTTATATTTGTTTTGTGCTGTTGAGAGGGAAAAACCAGGACCACTGTGTATAAACTATTGGGAGGTAGATTTCAGTTCAACAAAAGAATAAAGTACTCCGAATGATTAGAACTGTCTGAAATTTCAACAGGGTATCTTTTAAGACAGTGAGTCCTCCATCACAGAATGTTAAGGGAGGGGGAATGGACAGAAATGAAAAAATGAATGAAAAGAGACTCCACTTGAAAAGAAACTATAAAATGATGAAGCCAACCCTTAGTGGAAAGAACAAAGTATCATGAAAATTGGTTAAAAATACACCCATCACTGAAAAATTTACAAAATAGTTATGGAAAATATATAAAAGTAAACAAATCCATCTAAGTGTTATCTCAACACAAAGAAAATTTGATGTTGGAGAAAAGTGATAAAAAGTTCTTTGAACGGCAATTTCAGGTATGAATTTGTTTGGAAACTTACTAGACAGCCTGGGTTTGAAGAAACAATCTAAAGATCCTCACGGAGACTTGATGGCTACCCACCCTGAAAGTGAAAAATACAGAGAGAAGTATAGTGTGCTTTCTAGAAGAAAATGGACCCCCAGGGATAAAATAGCATCCAGGCTGATGTAATTAAAATGTAAGCATTAGGTTGAAGATCTTAAAACACCATTTGATGGAAAAGCACTTGCAATGACAACTGAGTATGTTAGCATGATTTTAATCCTGCTACAGTGTGCACAGTGTGGTCAATAAAATTACTGCATAGTTTAATACTGAATGTCCCCTGCTATGCATCCATCTTTTGGGGTCTAGCAGTCCCAGGACCCAAATAATTCTTGATTTAATGAATATAAACATTCTCAGCCAGCAGCAGCAAGAAGTGGCTGGTTAAGGAATTAAAGCCCCAGCAAAATCTTCCTTCTATTATGAGTAACTACTGATGAGTGTGTGCACACACACACACACAGGGACATAAACATATATATGCTATATATAATGCCACTGCCCATGCCCCCATATAAGATAGGCTTTCAGACTATTTGTACTTAGATGGACAAATGTGTTTTCGTTTTTGAAAATCAAAATGTTTTGTTGTTTTCTATTTCCATAATTTACAAATTTAATTATGCATGGGGTGCTAAAACTGAATGACTACTCATTTAGACTGGAGCTTCTTTTTGTGATATAGGTCTGGGGTCAAAAAAAATACTAAAATCGGGGCCTCCCTGGTGGCGCAAGGGGTTGGGACACAACCTATGACCCAGCCACAGCCAGGGAGCTACCCACATGGCACAGCAGAGCTCTCCTGACTCAACCGCTGCCGCTGCTGCCCGCAGCAGTGTATTTCAGTCCGTCTGCCTGTTCTGTTCCCCACTCTGCCTCGGTGAATCCTGTCACCCCCTCCCCCCACACACACCTCTGGTCTACACCCCAGTTCTTGTATGTATAAATAAATAAATCTTTTTTAAAAATACTGAAATCGGGCCTCCCCGGTGGCGCAGCGGTTGAGCGCTGGGTTGCGAAGCTGCCCGCGGCCTCTGTGGCGCCGGTTCGATCCCCGGCTGCTCCCCGGCCACCGGAGGAGGGTCCCACATGGCGTGCAGACCTCTCCTGCCGCCCGCTGCTCCCCTCAGCAGTGTACTTCGGTCCTTCTGCCTGCTCTGCTCCCCGCTCTGGCTCTGGTGAGTTCTCTCGCCCTCCCGCGCTTCTGACTGTGCCCAGTGCATGTATAGACAAAACAAACAAACCAGCAAACAAATAGATAAAGCATGCCTCTATAAAAAAAAAAAAAAAAAAAAAAATACTGAAATCTTGGAAAGTAAAAGATTGTCTCCCATGAAAGTGACAAGAGATGAAAACCGTGTTGACAGAGCCTAAATGGACACCATGGGGTTAGGTATGTGGATTACAGCTGGGAAGGACGGCAGGTGACAAAACTTCATTAAGGTGAAACAGTTAAATTTCAGCGCAGGATGAGCACTGTAGGGACATACTGGGCCTTGGAGGCCAAGGAAGGGAGAATGAGGGAGAGAGGCGGTATGGGGGAAGCCGCAGAGACGAAGAGGGGCTAAGCTCCAAGACAGGTAACCAGGAAAAAGCAAATATAAACAAAGAGAGGTGAGTGGTGGTGCCCGCTGTGTTGTGCGTCAGGAAACACCCGCAGGTTGCAGCAGCACGGCCGCCGGTCAAAGTGGTAACTGGGGATCTGAGCTCGGCGGTGACGCGCGGCCCTCACGTGACCAGGAGCCTATGTCTGCCCAAGTCCTTCACGTCCTGGTCCTTTTTGCATGTCCAGACAGCGTCTCCCTATTGCCCTTCGGTCGAGGGGGAAACAGAGGAAGTAAGTTCCCTCGGTTCCCTTAAATCGCTTTGCAGCCGCTGCTGCTCGACACTCGGGGTCCGGATGGCAGAGAGTCCAGGCCTTTCCCTAAGCCCGGCCCCGCCCCCCGCGCCCACTTTTCGGTGCAGAAAATGGTGGTCTTGGGGAGTGGGGAGGAAGGTGAGTTGTGGGGGTGGGGATGTCCCCTTGGGAGGGAGACTGACGCGCTGAGACCTGTCTCCAAGTCATCCTTCGCTTCCATCCCCCGCCTGAAAAGAAATGACGAACACTGCGGGGAAGGGGGGCTGCGAGGGGGGCTGCCAAAGGGCCGCAGCGCGCAGCCAGACAGGGGGCATGGGGTGGGGGTTAACCAGAGAGCCTGGCGTGGGGGTGGTGGCTGGTGCCCAGGAAAGGGGCGTGGGTGGCAGTCAGCCCGTCCCTCCTCCCCGCCCCCTACCCTGTCTCGCGTCTGTCTGCAGGTCTGCCGGGCACAGCGGGGCACCTCGAGGACAGAACGGCCGAGAGCAAGCTGCGGGCGAGGTCCAGGTCGGGGAAAGGGTGGGCAGTGGACCGGGATGGGTGCCCGGGAGGATGCTGACGGGAGCGGAGTCCGCGGCCCCACCGCCCCGCCCCTGCCCCTGCGGAGAGGCCTATGGCAAGGCCTGCTGGGAAAATGGTGGCTTTCGGGAAGGAGGGGCGGCTATCGGGGTGGGGGGAGGCGTGGGGGCCAGGCGCGGCGGGGTCCAGGAGCCCGGAGCGCCTCTGGGTCAGCGTAGGGGTCCCCGATCACGCAGAGGCGGGCGTTGGCACCGGTGGCCGGGTTGCGGTCCAGCCATCAAATATCCTGACTCCACTGTGCCTTTCTGTCTCCTGTGCATAACTGTGCTTAAAGGAGACCATTCTCAACATGGAAAAATCCTGCCAAGACAACGAAGATCAGCCCCAGAGCGTGCCCGAGACGGAGGAGGCGCGGCCTCCTCCTCCTCCCTCTCCCGGGAAACCGGTTCTGGAGGACCCGTCATCGGAGGAGCAGTCCTCGGAGGAGGAGTTCTTTCCCGAGGAACTGCTTCCCGAGCTCCTTCCCGAGATGCTCGTGTCGGAGGAGCGCCCTCCGCAGGAGCGCCTTTCCAGAAAGGACCTTTTCGAGCAGCGCCCTCCCATGGAGCAGCCTCCGTGCGGGGTGGGGAAGCACAAGCTGGAAGAAGGAAGCTTTAAGGAGAGGCTGGCCCGCTCTCGCCCGCAGTTTAGAGGGGACATCCATGGTAGAAATTTAAGCAACGAGGAGATGATAAAGGTGGCAGAGGAGATGGAAGAGATGAAAAGAGTACGAAATAAACTGATGATAATGCATTGGAAGGCAAGACGTAACCGCCCTTATCCTATTTAACTACTGGGCCTTTACTTCTAGTTTGCCTGATATAAGTGTTGCCACCTGAACTTGGCATTTTCTTAAATACCTTTCCCGTCTTCTTAATTTTTCAGTTTTGCCGTGACTTCATTTTAGGTGTTTCGCTTGTAACTGGCCTAAAATTGACACCTCCCTCCATCTGCAAGTCTCCCTCTTTCAATCATAAATCTAACCCATTTGCATGGAAAGATGTATATTATATATTGTGAAGTGAGAAGGGCAATTTTCAAAAAGTATATGTAGTGTCCCATTTTTGTAAAAAAATATTTATATATTAATATACAAGGAAAAAACTAAAGTGTATATACTTCAGGGGCTTAACAGTGGCTACCTGTATGATAAGACAATGGGTGATTTTTATTTTTTCATTTTTGCTTTCTTGGAATTTCCCACTTTTCCAAGACAAACACGTTTTACTTATGTTGCAAAACAAAAACCAAAAACCAAAAAAAAAAAAAAAACCAATAAAACAACAAAAACCACAACAATGAAAAAATGTAAAGCAATTTAAAAGACTGTTAATCAACTTATAAGGACAATGTGGCACTTAATAAACACTTGTCATAACTTAAAAAAAGTTAATCCTATGTTTCTTCTGAACCTCTTAGGCAGAATTTAACGAGGTACTAATTGTATTTAAGGGTCATTCTCTTCCCATTTAAATAGGAATAATACAGGGCTGCTGTGGAACCCAGTAAGATAAAAAGATCTTGTGAACTGTTTCCCCCCCACCTGCACATGCAGGACCCCAAACTTTAAATTCCCTTCCAGATAGGGGATAGTACCCAAAGGAGGTCTCACTTACGCTTTCAGACAATTCCTGTGAGATTACAGATGAGTGACACATTCTATCCCTGTCCGGCTCTTTTCTTCCCTTGGATACTGACAAGTCTACTGGGTACAGCTGCTCTCCTGGGTCCTGCTCCTTCTATGGCCCCTCCATCAAGGTCAAAGTGCTGGAGTCCTCCAGGTGCAAAGCCTCACTTGCTCTGGAGTCCATGATGGGTCAAAGCTGAACCCTATGACCTATAGGTCTACAGAGAATGTCCCTCCTCCAGCTTTAATATTGTACCTATCCAGCTGGATACTATGCCAGTTCTGCTTAAACCTCAATGTCTTAAAGAATTCTTAGCAAAATAGTCCTTCCTGTTGTTTTTTTTTTTCTTTTTTCTGAAAGCCTCTCTTTTCTCCACTGGATTCAAACATGGAACCTGGGTTAGGAGACAAATTTGTGAGCCAGACAATGCTGTGTATTCAGAATTGGAATCTTCCTCCGAAATAATCTCCAAGGATAACTTCGGTTTTAATTACCTAACTTGCCTTACGGTGGGTTCTCTTCCAAGGGCTTCCAAGGGCAGCCTTGCCTTACCAGTTCAACTGTCTTGCTCAACTTGTATAAATTGAAGAGGAAAATAAGACTTAGGTCGTTTCCCTTGAACCCCACCCCACATCAATAAGAAACATGCAAATGTACTTTATAATTCATTAAAATGCTATATATGTATGTGCATATACATATATATGTGTATCAGATATTATGATTTCTCTATTAAAATAACCTTATAAAACCTAAGACTTTTACTGATCTTGTTAATTCTAGAAACACGGTGGTTCATTTTTTTAAATTATGTGATTAATTTTAATTTCTGCTTGATTGACTAAACAAGCTTCAATAAGTGTTCACTTCTCTAGAAAGCACGGTTAGCAATTCCGAAAGGATCAAAGTGGGGAGAGGGATTGTTTCTCCAAATTCAACATTAAAATTATTTAAATATATATTTGGGGGTTTCCCTGGTGGCGCAAGGAATTAAGTCTCAGCACTATGAAGATATCCACATCCACTGCAGCACGAGTTCCATCCCTAGTTAGGAAGCTGACCCGCATGGCACAGCAGACCTCTCCTGTCTCACCCGCTGCTCCCCTCAGCAGTGTATTTCAGTCGATCTGCCTGTTCTGCTCCTCACTTTGTCTCTGGTGAATCCTTTCACCCCTCACACCTCTGGCCTGCACCCCAGTTCTTGGATGCATAAATAAAATAAAATATATATATATATATATATATATATATATATATATCTGTTTCTCTTATTAAAAAGGCAGACCTGAGCTCTACCCCAGACCCACTTTGTTTTTCTGTATAGCAGAAAGCCACTGCTATATTCAATAGTCTCCTGCCTTTAGTAAGAATAAATTATGTCATAAATAGAAGAAAGTACAGATCACTGCATCAGAATTTAAAGGGTGAAAGACATTTTTAAGAACTAAAAGCATCCTCACTGATACTGCTAAACTCTAGATTTCTGGCATCAAAACAACACCATATACGGAAATAAGGTGAAGGTAGATGACAAAATGACAAGATGTATTTTCCATAATTGATATTATATAATGTCATTATTTCCAATATGAGTAAAATGCATCAGATATAAATTCAAAGTTCTTTGGTAATTAGCTCACAAAATATTAAGTCAACCCTGTGCCCTTGACTTTTCATTTTCACTGTATATGCCATTTTGGGGGATCTTCATGTTTCGGGCAATAGCCTGATGGTCACTGTTTGTACTGGTTTCCACCTGGAGTGAGATGTGGGTCCAGAGGCACCCTATGCCAGTTGGACAAGACAGGATGAATCCATCCTCCTGGCGCCCAGAGGGGTGCCGCCCAGGCAGGATGTAGAGGGGCTCCCCCAAGACCCACTCCTCTCCAGGAGGTTCTGACTTTGGCTTCTCTGCTCCAGCCTGCAGCGGGCACCAGACCCTCCTAAGCAGTGGCCCGACCTGTCCTGACATACATATCTGTAGGATGATGACTGTCCCCACTGTAGGTCAGAGCACTTTGCCTTCCCCTCCTTTTCCCTTTCTCTCTGGGGCAGCCCTTCTTGGGCGGGACATAACACCCAGGGGTTCCTAACAGAACCATGATTGGGATAGTCTCTGAGCAAGCAGATGTCTGACCTGGGCCTGACCAGGTAACTTGGGGTTGAATAGACGGAGCTGGCCCTTCATTCAGAGTCCAGGGAAGTAGTCCCCTCCACGGGATTAGACCTCAGGTAAGTCAGTCCCCTCCCATCCCTCTCCTATCCCCTTTGCTCCGACTCCCATAAGGGCCTTGACTGAGCCCCTGCCTGTCTGGATGGTTCTGTGGTAACTTAGCTCTGTGTGTGCCTGGTGCAGTGCTTCTCATGTCTGCGTCAGCCCAGCCCCAGAGGCACAGAGACCCCAGGGAAAGGGAGTGCAAAGGCATGTGTTCCCATAGCTCAGGAGAAAGGGGGTTTCACCCCCTGTGTGAACACTCCTGTGCACTGCAGGCCTGTCTATGATTTGGGGGTTAGGAGGGCAGTCAAGCTGTGTGACAATACTTTTGAAGGCATTGATGATATGTGCTGGAGGATTAGCAGCATCCGGGGCCTGCTTCTCTGGCCCTCACCATCTCCGTGCTAACACACAAGGCTGGTATCCCAGTCACATGTGCAGGAAGTGGCTTGCCTCCCCAAGTCCAGAGCAGAAAGCATTGAGCTTCCAAGACCCTGGAGAGAACCCTCTTCAACCAGGAACCCTGGCTCTTAGGAGATAGCATGAGAGTGGGAGACCCTCTGGGGAGGCAGCTTAGAGGGATCAGGTCTATATGTTCTTGAAAAAATGCCCAGTCTTCTCTTCCCATTCAGAAATACCAATTAATCCAATTATTTTTACAAATAAATAAGAGATTCTGTGTTCTAACTCAGATGTGTTTGAATCAAATTCTATGTTCTCTGATATGGTGAAGAAATAATTTGAACTTTAAATAGTGAACTTATGTAGCATAAAACATATTGAATTCTCAATGATGCATGCCTGAAACATACATAGTGCTATGATGAAATGTCATTTTAATAAAAAAAAGAAATGGTTTTAATGCAATCCATATCCCCTCAATTGCAGTAGAGGAGCTCTATTATTTTTATAGGCTAAAATCAAGACTACTCCATAAGTTCCAGGTTCTCTGTATCAATTCTCTCATTTTTTCATTTTTACATGTACTTTATATGCATATATTTACATGTACTTTATATTCAGTTATATTCAGTTAATGAAAAAGAAATTATCTTGTAAACTTTACTTAGTATTACAAATAGTAATCCCAAGTGAAGTTTTTGCAAATATCAAAGCATACTAATCACTCTTTTGAGGAAGCCAATCTGAAAATTAGGGTGATTTTTAGTTGGCCATATTTATATCATTAAATTGTTACTAGGTCAAGCAAATAAACATATACGAATTTATGCAAATGAAACGAAATGCTTTTCACTAGGATCAATGCAATCACTGTCACTTTCTGGTAAAATGCTTTCAAACTATTGCCTAAAAAAATCTCTGTAGATATATGCACGTTTTTGCCATAACCTGACCTAATTCATTTTGAGTGTAAATTTCATATAACGAGAAAGAAAAGATGTTGGTTCCAACTTTATTTTCCCAACCTAGGCTGAGATACTTACTTTGATTTCACAGGTGAAAATTATTTAGATTAAATTTTCTTTTGGTTTATGGGATGTTTAGATATCCAATTTATTACGAACTTATGACATGAGTAAAGAAGTATTTGGGCACAACAAGATTACAGAAAATACGTGCTAGGATTGAATAATGTGTGCAACTTTATTATATTAAAAATATTAATCATTTAAAAAAATTCTATATTTTATAGGCGAAACACTACATGATTTGCACATCAAAGACATCTTTACAGACATATCACCCAAAGCAGTGATAGTAAAGGCAAAGATAAACAGCTGGGACTACATCAAATTAAAGAGCTTCTGCACAGCAAAAGAGACAATAACAAAAAACAAAGAGAAATCTCACCAACTGGGAGAACATTTTTGCACCCAACACTAATGATAAAGGACTGATCACAAAAATCTGCAAAGAGCTGATGAGACTCAACAACAACAAAGAAAATAATCCAGTCAAAAAATGGGCAGAAGAGCTAAAAAGAAACTTCTCTGAAGAGGAAATGCAAATGGCCAACAGGCATATGAAAAAATGTTCAACATCACTTGTCATCAGGGAAATGCAAATCAAAACTACCATGAGATACCATCTTACACCAGTGAAAATGGCACATATTAAAAAAACTAGCAACAACAAATGTTGGCGAGGTTGTGGAGAAAAAGGAACTCTTCTGCACTGTTGGTGGGAGTGCAAACTGGTCCAACCACTGTGGAAAGCTGTGTGGAGATTTCTGGACCTACTAAACATAGAGCTTCCATATGATCCAGCAATTCCACTCCTAGGTATTTACCCAAAGGACACAGAAACATCAATTCCAAAGAGCACCTGCACCCCTATGTTTATAGCAGCACTGTTTACAATAGCTAAGCTTTGGAAACAACCCAAATGCCCAAAAATAGATGACTGGATCAAGAAGATGTGGTACATATATACCATGGAATATTACTCAGCATTCAAAAAAGATAAACACATGCAATTTGCAGCAACATGGATGGTGCTGGAAGGGATCATGCTCAGCGAAATAAGCCCAAAAGAAAAAGAAAAATACCGGATGGTCTCACTCATAGCAGGAATCTAGAAAACTTAAATAAGGGACCAGGAAAATGAATAACTATAAGAAAGTGAAAATCAAAATCAACAAAAAACTATGAACCAGAGACACTTTTAGGGGGCGGGGCGGGAGGGGAGGGATTGGGGTCAGAATGGGGGGCTGCAATTGTATGGGAATATAAAAATAAAATTTATTATTAAAAAAATTCTATGTTCTCCCCATTTTCCACCCTCCGATTGAGACTGAAACTTTCTGGTGCTTAGGGGATAATGAATTTAGTCTTGCTAAGTATGGTATTTTTGTTGGGTTGTGCTTTTGGATGAGTTTCTACATTATTTTCTTTCTCTGAACTGAAATGTCTGCTAGGCAGAAAGATACAAGTGTCTAGAGTTTGGAAAAAGAGTTTGGCGTGGAAATACATAGCTGGCATAATAAACACCCTGTGTATATTTGTTGAGTTAGATGAAGAATTCAATTATATATCCTCTCTTTTTCTATGAATATTTTCTTTTTTTATAGTGCTTTTTGTAGTTCACCACCACCACCACCACCACCACCACTGTTAGGGGGAACATCCCAACATCCATATATTCGATCTTCATCACCATGGAAATGGTGGCATAAAGTGAAAGGGGGGAATGTTAGGGGGAAAAGGATGTCCTAAAGCTAATTCCATACAGGCTTTGTGGACTCCATCCCCACCCCAGGCCAAAGCCAAAGACACTGGGAACTCCAAATCCCATCACCACCAAAGGGAAGGTGGCTGGGACCTGAGGGTGGGGTTAAGCAGCCAGGTTTGGTATAAAGACAGACACGTGGGCTTTGGGGGGGGTCCCCCATTTTGGCTCGCCACCAGCCAGCAGCGTCTGGCCAACTCTGAGAGTGACTTTGGGTTTCCAGGTCGGCGGATCGGGTAGGACGCAGTAAAGACTTTATTTCCCTATTTTCTCCCTGAGTTGTACATTTTTCTTATTTCCTTTTCCATTGTAAATAAACCTTTTATTAACCTTTGTGTGTGCCT